TGCAGCTTGAGCCTGTTTCCTCTCGTCCTATCGCTAACTACTTGAAGAGTAGAGCAGAAGAGCCCAACACCTCTCCCCGCAGGACCCGCCGTCGCGCCGTCCCCGCCATGAACTGCCGTGCGGAGGTGCTGGAGGTGTCGGTGGAGGGTCGGCAGGTGGAGGAGGCCATGCTGGCCGTGCTCCACACCGTCCTGCTGCACCGCAGCACCGGCAAGTTCCACTACAAGAAGGAGGGCACCTACTCCATCGGCACCGTGGGCACCCAGGACGTGGACTGTGACTTCATCGACTTCGCCTACGTCCGCGTCTCCTCTGAGGAGCTGGACCGGGCCCTCCGCAAGGCCGTCGGGGAGTTCAAGGTAAGGAGCCCCATGGGGACCCAGCAGGGTTGAAAGCCGGAGCTTAAAAACTTGTGGGCTGTGCCGTGTCCTCGCCTGCGAGGGGAGGGTCTGTCCCCGGCCCCCCTGAGCGGGGCCGCGTGTTCTCTCGGCAGGACGCGCTGCGCAACTCGGGCAGCGACGGGATGGGGCAGATCTCGCTGGAGTTCTACCAGAAGAAGAAGTCACGCTGGCCCTTCTCGGATGAGTGCATCCCCTGGGAGCTGTGGACCATCAAGGTGAACGTGGTGAACCTGGCTAATGAGCAGGAGCGGCAGATCTGCCGGGAGAAAGTGGGTGAGAAACTCTGCGAAAAGATCATCAACATCGTAGAGGTGATGAACCGCCACGAGTACCTGCCCAAGATGCCCACCCAGTCGGAGGTGGACAATGTCTTTGACACCAGCCTGAAGGATGTGCAGCCCTACCTGTACAAGATCTCCTACCAGATCACGGACTCCCTGGGCACCTCGGTCACCACCACCATGGGCCGGCCCCGTATCATGAAGTGCACGGTGCGTCTGTAGGGCCAGGTGCCGCCGAGGCGGGTTCACCCTGTGTGGTGGCACCTCTCCGGCACAGCCCCGGGCTCTTTGGGACAGCATCTCTGCTTGGATCCTTCCTCTCCACCTCCAAAAAGCCTCTGCGGAGAGCTGAACTCAGCCTGGCCCC